AATATCCTAGCAACCGCCTAGCAACACCATAGCAACCACCCAAAACACCCTAGCAACTGCCTAGCAACACCCAAACAACCACCCAGAACACCTTAGCAACCGCCTAGCAATGCCTTAGCAACCACCTAGAACACCTTAGCAACCATTTAACAACATCCTAGATACCACCTAGGATACCCTAGCAACCGCGTAGCAACAACTCATAATCAGTGACGTGGCGGACGGGCACCCCGCGATAACCTCCTCGTGCTGGGGTGCGTCGTATCATGTGTCGACGATAGATATTGTCAAAAGCATCAAATATTGTCAATATTAAGAGGATTTGGCCTTTTACATTCTTATTATTAGGCCTATTATTATTATTAGGTTACTTTTATTATTAAATCACAATTAATTTGCTCTTCAATAATTTCAGAGCGCATCACCACATAACTGACGCACTGTGAGAATAATAAAAGATTGGGCTATTAGCTTACTCCTCATTCAAAATGTTTTTAAGAAGTTTTTTTTTTAAACAGGTCTGAGTTATACAGTTAATTAAAAATGATTAACTCTGCAGCCATCATTGAAAATGCTTTATTTCAAGCACCAACTTCCAAAAACAACCTGTTCAACGTGAAATTCGTTTCTTCTCATTTCTTTCACAATGTACGGGCCACAAGACAAATATTAAGGGAATAAATTAGGACAGTTATATACCATTATCAGCATATGTTGAAGTAGATTCGTTTATCGTCGTCTCTTAGAGAATATGTGCCGTTAATGCAGTGTCAGATGCTGAAAGTGCCGTCAGTTTTTACTTTTTTCACTTTCAATTATAGTGAATTGACTGAGGTTAAGACACTCACTGGCATAACGTTTGTGATGTGATATCCATTGGCCCACCTTTATGGTTTATGGCCAGGAACCGATGAATCAGCTTTTTGAACCGGTTCAATGAGCCTAACTGTCCAAAAATAACTGGTTTGCGAAAAAGAATCGGACTTTGCATCACTAGTCTCGAGTTATACAGAGTTAAATGAAACCTAACAGCCAATCAGAAATTAGAATATAGTTGTTTCTGGGTAAATTACATGATCCCGCTGCAAGCACGTACTAGGCAACATGGATGCGCACACACACTGGGCTCTAGCATACAGCCGGCACAATGTGGCGCCAGGCTCGACGCAACTGTCTTTTGCTAGTTTCAGCCCGATGCAGTTATCATTTTCACGTCCTGCACCACGTTGTTTAAATAGCAAATGCATTTGCACCCATTTGTGCGCTCTTGGGCGAGCTGGTCTGAGAACGAGGTGTGTTCAGGAGCATCACTGGTGCGTTGCTATGTTGAGGCACCTGAAATAGACTGCGCCATTGACCAACTAAAACCTGGTCTAAAGTAAATTACTGCAGTACTTTTTTTGTTATTTAAAGAGCCCGTTAGTATAGGCAGGTCCACAACGCGCGTACACTCTGCTTATTACACACACAGCGACGCACAGCAGCACACAAGCATGCCAAATATTACAAATTAAAGGAGTACAATGTAAAAGAATAGTATTATTTAAGCTACATAAATATAAAAATAAAAAAATACATGTATCAGAATTAGGCTAGATATTTTCTCGCGGACGAGCAGCTCCGTTTCATCTCTGGAGACGCTTCTGTCTTTGCGCTTGCAAATTCCGGCGTGTAAATAGCGAATCCGCCATGGCACGAGCGCATCTGGCTCTTAAAGGGATTGGGAGATGAGACTCTGATTGGTTTATTGCACGTTATGCCCAAAACACACCCATTACCCATTAAGAGAATAGGGACAACCCTTTTAGAGCATGTGCCAGGCGCGCTGACTGTTTTTCCCGTCGTTAAACTAGCAGAAGTGGATTAGGACAGGCCCTAAGTGCACCTGCGCCGTTCACTTTAGACCTCGCGCTTAGATCGTTAAAATAGGGCCCACAGAGTGTAAGTTGGGAGAGCAAGATAGGTAACCTCTGCCTTTTTTTACGATTCCTGGACAAAATCACT